AAAAAAAGGCTCCCACAGACTTACTTGATGTGGGGATGACACAAACCTTCAATTTGTGAAAAATACAGGATCTGCAAAGCACAGTAAAGCAAAAATGCAATAAAAGGAGGGTATACCTGTATACCCTCACCCAGGCCTCCCTGCTCATCTCACATTACTAAGGTTAACTTTCTAAGTTGCTTAGCCTTCCCACCTCTTCTGGGATTCACCTCCATCAGATGGTCCCCCTCACCACAGATGATGCCCTCCCCAAACCACCCTTAGTACATCTCCCTCCACTGGTTTCTACCCTTTCATCCACGGGCACATAGAAAATAAACAGAAAAAGCAAAACAAGCTTCCAAAGACAAAATCATCCACACACACACACACAACCAGACAGAAATAGAAGAAATGAAGAAACTGAAGAAAATTGTGTAAAGTGTTCACAATAGCTGTCTTTGGTGGTAGGATAATAGCCAATTTTTTTCTTTAAAAAAAAATTTGCACTTTCCAAATTTTCTAGGTATTCCTTTTATAACAGAAATACACTTTGGGGGCGCCTGGGTGGCTCAGTTGGTGAAGCATCCGGCTTCAGCTCAGGTCATGATCTCACAGTTTGTGAATTCGAGCCCCACATCGGGCTCTGTGCTGACAGCTCAGAGCCTGGAGGCTGCTTCAGATTCCGTGTCTCCCTCTCTCTGCCCTCGTCCACTCGTGCTCTGTCTCTGTCTCTCAAAAAAAATAAATAAAAGTTAAAAGATTTTATAAAAAAAAGGAACTATACTTTTTAAAGATATACTTCCTTTCGTTTTTTTTTTACTTTTTTTAGTTTTTATTTTACTTTTTTTAGTTTTTATTTAAACCCCAGTTAGCTAACACTCTGTGTAGTAGTAGCTTCAGGTGTACAATACAGTGATTCAACGCTTCCGCACATCACCTCTGTAAGCTAACACTAGCCTTCCCTCCCTTACTTGCAAACACTGTAAAATGAAAGACCACAGAGCACTTCCCCACTCCTCGCCCATTTCCACTTTGACTCGATTACTACTCACATCACTCAGGGGAAACTACAGGCCACCAGTGACCCGTGTGGCCAGCACGCCACATCCAGTGTCTTCTCTTCCCCCTTCTGCCCATCTGACCTATTTGGATCGTTAGCATTCCCTGCCCTTGACTCAAGTCTGAAACCACCGTGTGATCCTCAGATCTGCCTTTCCTCTCCTTCTCCATTGTGTCATTCAACAAACCTTCATCCTATTCCAAGAGTACTTTGAACTCCAAGCAGCTCTCCTCTTTCCCGGGGCTACTGCCTGTGGTCTGCCCCCTTGTGGCCTCCCCCCCTCACCTCCCTGTGCGGCCACACTTCCCCCCGCTCACTAAATGCCCTGCCTTGGCAGTTATCGCCCGAAAGCCCAAACGTAATCTTTGAATTCCCCCACCTTAAAATTCTGATGGCCCCTGAATGCATATAATATCAAGTGCAGTTACTGGCCTGGCACCAAAGGCCCTTCACAAACCAGCTCCCCCGGCCTCATCCTGCATCTCTGCCGAGCATGCCCCACGGGCTCCAGAACAAACTGACAGGCTCCTCCCAGAAGAGCTGAGGCTCTCCTGCACCCATGTGCTTCTCGTCATGCTCCTCTGCTCTGGGCTGCCATGCTTCTCTTCTCCGCACGAACTCCTATTCATTCCTCAAGACCCAGACCAGCATTCAATTCTGCCTATTTTAATAATTAGCACTTATCACCCTCTATTTTGGTCCCCAGTAGACAATAACCTACTAAGGAGCAGAAGTATCATTTTATTTATTATATCTTGGCTTCTTGTCTACAGAAAAGAGGCAAACTGGAAAGAGGAGACATATAGTAAAAATCACAAGCCTTCCCTAGAGAATGGATTTTTTTGTTATATTAAGAGAGTAATCATACTATTTCTCACTTCTAAAAATAAACCGTAATTCCCCCAAAGACTTTTATGTTCTCTGTACACTAATACGATGGTTGCCCTATGCGAAGTTGTGCACTCTTAGCCCCCGTTATACAACTGTGGCCACTTCTTTTGGTTTGGGATCAGTCTCTCTAGATTAGAAAATAAACCTTCATGGGTCACCTGGGTGGCTCATTCAGTTAACTGATTTTGGCTCAGGTCACGACCTCATGGTTCATGAGTTTGAGCCCCACATCAGGCTCTGCACTGACAGCGTGGAGCCTACTTGGGATTCTCTCTCGCTCTCTCTCTCTCTCTCCCCCTATCTCTCTCCCCACCCCTCCCCCACTCATGCTTTCAATCTTAAAATAAATAAACTTAAAAAATGAAATCTTCATATTAAAAAGTTTAAATTGTTGGGTGGCTTAGTCAGTTACACGTCCAACTCTTAATCTCAGCTCAGGTCTTGATCTCAGGGTCATGAGTTCATGCCCCATGCTGGGTTCCATGCCCAGCGTAAAGCCTGCTATAAAAAAAAAGTTTAAAGTCTCTTTATTTCATAGCTCCTTGTTCATTCATAGTTAAGATTTATAAATATATACCTTCTACTTAAAAAAAAAAGGGAACACTTTTAAAGATACCTTTTGTGCAAGGAAAAGTAATCCTATAATATTCTTTAACTTTTTCCAGCTTACTACATTAATTTGTAAAAGAGTCAATTATTAAATAAAATTACATCTTTCTAAGACATACAATGAAAAAATATATATATGTTACATATATATATAAATAATCAAAGAAAATTTAAATCTGGAGAATTCAGGATTATAAAAGTAATTAAATTACTCATCTCATATCCCAGAATAGTTAATTCGGTTGACAAAGGCATCACTAAATTTTATTAGAAATTTCCATGGCTCTAAAAAAAGAAGTCAAGATGTCAATCTCTCTCCTTAAATAGAAGTGACAGGGTTCATTCAGCAACTGTTCATTGAACACTACACTCAAAACACAATGCTAATAACTATGGGAGACGTTCAGATGGATAAGACATTTCACCTCCCTCACTGCCCGAGGAGGACAAGATAAATGGCTACAATATAAGCCCAATATGACGTGTCATCAGAAAGGTCCAAAGTGCTGTAAAATTTCAGAAGAAAAAGACACTCTATCCAATTGAGAGATCCAAGAAATTCTTCCCACAAACAAGACACAAGCCCTGAAGAATAGATAGCATTGTTTACAACAGAATTGAGAAAAATGCCATTCCAGGCAGAGGGAACAGCAAAACACAAGGATCAGACACCAAACACAGGAGGCCAGGTGGCCCGAGAGAGGTCCCAAAGAGGAGGCCTCCGCTCACTTCTCACCCTTGGCCTTGCTCACCCCAACTGCAGTGCTTCCTTCCACCTCATGCAGAATCCATCCCACAAAGACTAAAACATAAATGGCCTTCCCATTCGCAAAAGATTCTGGGCTCAATCCAAGAGGCGATGGAGAGTAACTGCAAGTTTTTGAGCAGAGGTCGGACAAGGGCAGGGGAGTGCTGGAGGAAATGGATCTGGCACCAGTGTGTAGAAAGGGAAGGGAGACCTGAGGGAGACCGAGATACGGCAAGGACTGGAATAAGGTAGGGATGCTGACGCTGTTGTTGCTCAACGTTCTGGTAATAAACTCAAACACTGCAGCCGGGGGTGTGAAGCAATGTATGCTGCTGGGGTACCCAAAGTCCGGCATAATTACATATTTAACTCTTGAAAAACCTTACCATCCCATTCTAATCTTCTCTGAATTTCCTCTGTAATAAAAATAAATAAATACATAAAACTGACTCTATTTTTGTTGTTTGACAACTGACAGCTTTCAAATCCAACAGCTCCCCATTCCGCCTCACACCAGTGCAGTGGGTAAGAAAGCCAGGGCCTTCCTTCATCATGCTGGCAAGGAGAATAAAGCCATGCAGTCCCCTCCCCCTGCATGGGAGTCCTCAACCAGCTCCACTCCCAACCCCAATAAAAACCAAAGGCACTCACCGCCACCCCCTTCCTTCACTCGAGCTGATGGGCCACTTGGGTGCCTACTCTGCCCCCCTAGAAAGCCTCATTGTGTGTGTAATCAATCTTTGTACCCTCCTTGGTGTGTGTGTGGTGGGGGGGTCCATCGAAACTAACATCCAAACTGGCTGGGGTTGGAGTCCATCCCACTCTCCACTAGGGTAACGACAAGCACTCCCTACGGCCATGCCCTTACTGTCCTAGATTAGAGATAGAGGTGCAGAGAAGGGGCAGGATGGAAACATAGGGAAGGTTCCTGAGCTCTAGAACCTCTCCTGGGGAGACAGATGCCCCTTTATGAGATACCCTGTGGTGTAGAAGACCAACTCAATATCGACTATGTTGAATGGTCACATACATTCACTCCGACATCTAATTATCAGGGCGCCTGGGTACCTCAGTCGGTTAAGCATCCGACTCTTGATTTCAGCTCAAGTCATGATCTCACAGTTTGTGAGTTCAAGCCCTGCATCGGGCTCTGGGCTGATGGTGTGGAGCCTGCTTGGGTTCTTCTCTCCTCTCTCTGCCCCTTTCCCTGTTCATGCTCCTTCTCTCCTCTCTCCCTCTCTCTCTCTCTCTCTCAAAATGAATAAACTTTAAGAAAATAAATCTAACTTTCAATTTTAAAACGATTCAGTGTGCATTTGATAAATGCTCGCTCCAGTCTCTCTCCACTGGCTAACTCTAGGGCATAGTCATGGGAGCTACGTGCTTAATTAATTCTCCCATAACCGCTTGCTTTCAATTAGAAGAAATCTTGGCACAAGTTGGGAAGGAAGCACAATTAAACGTTTCCCTTCCCTAAAGTTCTGAGTTACAGCACTAGGGCAAATGAAAGGCTAAAATGGAATAAATAACAGCACAGTAACATTCTTCAAATACCACTTTAGTTATAAGCCAGGTGATACTCGATTTTTACACAATACAGCCAGTAGCCCCATGTCTTTTCAGGCAAATCTACATATACTGAAAGGTCATGATCATGAAAAACTGTCTTCTTCAAAAAGAGTTTAGAAAATCATAGTATTAACTACTTACGCATCTTTAGCTGCTCCTGCAGGGCCTAGGGAAGGAAAAAAGGTTTGCATTATTGTGGTAGAATTGCTACAAAAAATATTGATCCCAATACCCATCCAAAATAATGTTCCAGAAGAGACAAGTTGAAAATGTTTTTTTTAATGATCACTTCAAAAAGAAAAAAAGAGCAACGATATCATTAAATTCAAATCTTAAATTTTAAATTTCTTCTGCCTATTTTTAACAATCTCTATAAACTATAAGGTGCCAGTTCTAGATGGGATTTTACAGATCACCTAATCCAATCCCTTTATTTTCCAGATAAAGTGACAGCTTTAAGAAATATTTTCACTTCTATGCCACACGCCTTCTAAGTTGGTGTCCACATGGCCTTGTTTTAAGTCACACCATGCAACTAGTCACAAAGTAAAGCAAAGTCCCAAGACAAATTGGAGGGGATATCCTCAGTAAATTACAAGTCTCAAGGACACCAGCTGAGCTCCCAAGGGAGTTACATGCGTTTCTAATTCTGCACCTATTTGCTACTGAATCCCATCCCATCTTGGCTTCCCACCCACATCCCGAAAACAACCCATCTCTTCTGGACCCCATTCCTGTCGGTCAGCACAGACTGTCTCCCCAGTATGGCCAGCCCTGTCTACATACCGCCTCTTCCCGCTATCCTCATCTGAGCGACACAGAACTCGGTTCCAACTTACTAGGTACGTGGCATTAAGTGTCTTCTAACCTCTTAAAACCTCACTTCCCTCCCTTGTATCAAATGAGGGTAATACAAGTGTCTTCCTCAAAAGTTAATGTAAAACAGAGAATAAAATGCAATAACCACAGCTAAGAGTGCTATTTAAAATGGAACAGGGTAGGGGTACCTGAGTGAGCATCTGACTCTTGATTTTGGCTCAGGTCGTGATCTCACTTTCATGAGATGGAGCCACGTGCTAGGCTCTGAGCTGACAGCATGGAACCTGCTTGGGATTCTCTCTCTCAAAATAAATAAATAAAACTTAAAAAAAAAAAAAAAAAAAGGAGGACCTTGAGGAGGTGGGCCCGGCTCATGCACATATTCTGTCCCAAATTCTCAGAATTCTTTTGCTGAATTCAGCTAAAAGCTATGGCATCTACTTATGTTATAATGGACCAAAATGGACTTTCTAACACTAGCAACCAATCACACATAGATTACCTCAACTGTACGTAAACCAGCACCAAACATCTTTTCTTCAAAACAGTTTATGAACATCTTCTCTTTCCTCTAAAAACTCCTCCATCTTTCCAGAGCATGTTTTCAACTTTGATCAAAACCCTGTCTGCCGGATTGCAATCTCTAAGACCCAAGATAAATGCAAATAAATGCCCATATTTTATTTTGCAGCTTCAGTTTCAGTTACTGTTATCTGACACTACTGTGAAGTTTTTTTAATTTTTTAAATGTTTATTTATTTTTGAGAGAGAGTGAGAGAGAGACAAAGTGTGAGCAGGGGAGGAGCAGAGAGAGAGAGGGAGACACAGAATCTGAAGCAGGCTCAGGCTCTGAGTTGTCAACACAAAGCCCAACGCAGGGCTCGAGCCCACAAACCATGAGATCATGACCTGAGTCGAAGTTGGAGGATTAATCAACTGAACCACCCAGGCATCCCAAGATTTTTTTTTAAAGAAGCATGTCAACACATATTAGCAGTCAATTTCATTGGAAATTAATATCTCAATTGCTGCATCTATGAAATGGGAATTAAAATAACTTCTGCCCAAGTCATAGAGATGTGAAAATAAAGAAAGATGTGCTACAAAGTAAGAAACAAGCCTACAGGGAAAATTATTGCCAAAACTGCATGAACTGTACCCTAGTGATATTAATTTAAAATCTATAATACTGCACATTCAAAGTAGAGCGTAAAGATAACCAAGACTGTGTCTCAAACAAATTCTTTTAAGGCCCTGACCAAACCCTAACTTTGTAACAAACTTCATTCCTTTCTTTAGAGAAGCGTAACATTTTTATGTCACACCTATCATTAAAATCATTTTTATGTCACAACTATCATTAAAATTATAGAAATAAACATTGGTTTGGAATCTGAAATCATAAAACCAAAAAAAATTCCTAAAATAAAAAATCTTAATCTAAGAACAGTGGATGTTTTGATAGGAAAAAATAAGCAAAGGATTAGTGCCACCAAAAACCCGTGCAAAGGAATGTTTTATTTCAGAGTCAAAACAAGCATGAGAATTTGGAAGAAAGTCTAAAACCAAAATAATATCTTGGTTTTCATATTTTCATTTTCATGGAAAAGCACAGCGAACGCTTTGGAGGTTTACTGTGGTCGGGAGAGCCAGAGGGGTTGGAAACTTTGATTGTGCGAAGTCTTCCAGAGAGAAGAAAGCAGAGATCATAATATGGACCATGAGCCCTCAGCAGAGAGGTGGAGGGCCATCTAATGAAATCCAGAGAGCAGAGGGGACAGATGCCATCTCACTCCATCTCAGGGATGGCCCCAGGGTGGCAGGGAAAGAACAGTGTGGAATGGGAAGACAGAGACCCACGCAAAGTCCTTGCTCTGACCATTCTGTCCAAGGTCACTAAATCACTGCTTCAATTTCTAATACTGGGCGGACTAAAAGCAGCTGAGAAGTCCAAGCACAATAATGTGTGCGTAACTAGTTTCAACACAGCAACCTGTTGTTTAACCAGTACTTATTCAGCCACCAGGAAGCTTCCTTCCACCTCACCTGACTGCTGCAGGCTCCAGGCGCCCTCAGAGCCGCATCCCTGCTGGGATCATGGGCCCCAGGCACATGCCTGGTATTACTTTCCCAAAGGAAGGCAGCTCATCACTTCTGTTTACAAATGCCCCTCATTTAAAGGGCACCATCTACTTAATACGTGCAGGGGATGGGAGCAGAGAACTCAGAACCACGACAGGTATCCACATGATCGTAATACATGCTCCATTTTTTTTTTTTTGTTTTAAGGGAAGAAAATGTGCATCTTAGAAGCAAGGGAACATGGTAGTAATGATTTTTTTTATAACCAGAACAGGTATAACATGACTCCCCAACACATAACTTCTCAGAGTACAAAAATAAAAAATGCATAATTGTTGGAAACCCTTGGCAAAACTATCAGAATATGTAGGTACATAAAATGTAAAATATCTTTGTTCTGCAAAAGTAGAACACTGTAAAATTAAACAGAAGAAAAATCATTACCTTCACTACAACACTGTAATCACACTTCACCTATATATTGACTGTAATCAACCAGATGGAGATCTCTAGAGACTTAGTGCAAAAAAAAAAAAAAAAAAAATTATCTAGAACAATTCAGATAGTGGCAAAATCCCATTTGCTTTAAATTGTGTTTATGGTCCATGTGATTTATCATTTGCTAAACAAATATTTATAATGGTATCTAATTCTTTCCTGGCCCCTGGGATACAGCATCGATTCCTGTTAACACCATTTCATTTCCTGCCAGAATGGCTCTTTACCATGTAAACACAGCCTTGATGCATTAATATAATGGCCTTAGAAGAAACAGAGATGGAGGGAAGGTAACAGTGCTTCTTGTGGCATGAAATCACCACAAAATATATAGACTAGAGATCTGATGACTATTCTCCAAAACTGTGTAAAGGATGATCATTTTAAGTATCTTCCTAAGAAAAGAGAACGGGGTCTAAGGTTTGCTCTCAGACAAGTAATATATGCAGTTTCAGTGACAAAGAGTTATTATAAATGGTTAGGGTCTGTAGGGAAGAACATTTCTCTACAGACAAAAAAGTAAGAAACAGTTCAACGTTGTTGGTCGTTTGAAACATCACTTCACTTCACCAAGACTGTGTGTACCTTTTACTTTACACACTTCAAAAGACTTTAAGGTTTTATTCATGAGTTTCAAGGTCAAAAGCCTCAGTCACTTAAAAATGCATAGCAAACCCAATTTATTCAAACATTTTAAAAACTTAACCTGATACTGTGGGGTCATAGAGAGATATTTGGGCTTTGTCCCCTGTTCCTGGCACAAAATTTCTAAAACCTTTGCAATTTCCTGAGTGAGAAGGGTAATGGGAGCCTCTTTCATACTGATGAAGGGACTCCTAGCAGGACCCAAGATAGCTCTGGGATGGGGACTGGTCACCAGAAAAGCCGAGCCTTGTCAGAAGCTTGAAACTTTTGGCCCCATCCCTGTTCCCCAGGGAGGGGAGAGGAGCTGGAGATTGAGTTTATCCCCAATAGTCAATGATCCCATCAATCATGTCTCTGTAATGAACTCTCCCTAAAAACCCCTAAAAGACAAGGTTCTGAGACCTTCTGAATTGGCAACCACATCCATGTGCTAGGAGGGTGGCACACCCCAACTCTATTGAGGCAGGAATTCCTATACTCGGGACCCTGCAGACATCACTCTATGTACCTCACCACTGGCTGTTCATTTGTGTACTTTATACTAAACTGGTAAATTTAAACCCATAAGTATAGTGCCTTCCTGAATTCCAAGCCATTCTAGCAAATTATCAAATCTAAGGAGGGGAGCCGTGGGAACACCCAAATTTGTTGCCAAGCTGGACAGAGGTGGGAGTAATCTGAGGACCCAATACTTGCGACTAGTGTTAGAAGTGAGTATATTTTGGGGGCGCCTGGGTGGCTCAGTCAGTTACGCATCTGACTCTTGATCTGGGCTCAGGTCAGAATCTCACAGCTCACAGGATCGAGTCTTGCACTGGGCTCTTTGCTGGGCCTGCTTGGGATTCTCTCTCCCTCTCTCTTCCCCTCCCCAATGTCCCCTTGCACATGTGTGTGCACAATAAATAAACTTTAAAAAAGAATTGAGGACATCTTATGGAACCTTGCCCTTAAATCTGTGGTGATGGACACAAACTCCAGGTGGCTAGTGTCAGACGTAAATTGCACTGTAGGACTCCACGTAGTGTCAGAGCACTGGGACACTGGATTGCATCAGGAGGGAAAATATCTCTCAGATATTCTTCAGGAGTTATAAAAATGTGATATCCTAAGAAGTAACTGAGG